TCTGATCAACTGAATATTTAATCACGTGGCTGATTCGCGTACAGGTACCCGTGATAAGTACACCGCTTCCACGTGCTTACAACAATTATCGAAAATCAATATGTTGTCTCGCATTCATTAATGCAAGGTATCCCATAAAATTCAGAATGATTAAATTTACGTCGTTTAACTGTTCTTCCAATTAGTTCAATTTTTTAATTAAATATGACGAAGAAAATTAATTTGCACTTATTGGTTCAATAAAATGATACCTAACACATTTCAAGCTCAGTGGCGTAATTATAATTTTGAAATAAGGGGGTCGAAAATATTTTTTTGAACACTTAATTAGCATTACGACAATATCAAATGTAATTCCCTTCAGTTATTTTTATTCCAGATATCGCTTTTTGAAATTTTCGAAAATATTCTGATCTTTATTAGAAAAAAAAAAAGATTTTTAAGTTCTGGCCTTTACTCTTCAAGCTATATTTATATTCGGCCGTTGTTGATTAAAAACTCATACACTATGGAACGCGACAGTGTATCCACGTAACTTACAGTGTTTCATGGGAATTTAATATTAATACACAATTTGGCTGGCTGTCTTGTAAGCGAAGGCACGCGTACGTGCTTGCAGAATGCAATATTTATATGAACACACGCCAAGGAAAACAAATGAGGATAACGTGACCGTTCCTTTTCTTCTCTATGTCGTACACACATGGCAAGGAAGTTTCACTAGTGTCGGCGACGATGCAATGAGCTAACCCAACCTCTCTTACCAACACTCGATCGAAGCATACCCTGGTGTCTCATTGCTATATCCTTTTGCTCCGTGAGATTTTTACAATGCAGCCTACTACCGGGATCATCGACGGAAGGTGTAAAAAATACTCGAGGGACGTGTACTGATTCAAGATCCTCGATTTAACGATATCCAGGTGTATCGAACACGCTACCTTAGCATCGTATCGTTACAAGTATACTACAGTATACTTTTACAGAACACCATTGAACATTGATAGCCAAAAAGAAAGTATCGATGATGGAAGATAACGTTTCCAGAGGATAATTTTGCCAAATCGAAACGAAAGCAGAGGAGAGATACTCTTTCGAACTTTCTAACGATTGAATTCCAGAACTCTTTTTAAGCACCAAGTGCACTCGACGAGCTGGCGATAACGATTTACGGGAACAAGCACTTCTTACTACAGATCATTTGCAACGGGGAACGTTTCTGTCGTCGTTAATGTTTTGCAACAATGCCTGAACTTATCCAATTTCCGTCCAAGTTAAAAAACCTACATTAATCTCGGCCTTGACGCGAACTTCGAAACTCCCGAACTCCATTCTCTTTAATATCTCACATACACGTATTCCTTTGAAACCTCTCTACCTTCGTATCATTCAACTTTTTGTTCAATCGAAAAATTAATCATTGCTCGTCCAGACATACAAGGTTATTCAAATTAAAACGTCCACTTTCACTGGACTTTCGTATCGGAACTGATCGTAACCCGACTGGCTAATTCTTTGCTATCAGAAACTAAATAAAAGAATCTTGGTCATTTCAACAGACTTCAGAAGTCAACTTCAGAAGTTTTACAAAAATTGTAAATCCTCTCCAGATAAAAAGCACGATATACAAGTTACGTTTCAGTAAATTGAGTGTCGTTTGAAGGTACCGCGAGCAATCGACCTCGACTCGTAAAAAGGATACACAAACCGTCGTAGAGCAAAGAAAAAATGAAGCAAAGAAGAGTAGGTAAGGAGAAAAGAAGAAGCTCGGCAAGTAATATCGATCAGCATTCAAGTTTTCCTGGCAAAAAACTGGCTACGTAAAGTAGCTTTAAGCCTGGTCCCTCGGCGAGGCTTACAGCGATTCTTCACAACGGTTGACAGACTAAATACCGTCCCTTGACAACTTTTTATAGAATGCCTTGCCCTCCTCCAGCTAAGTGCTTACTGCGACGGAAGAACGGCGAGCAAAGGGGATCGAATGTAAGGCGAGGAGAAAAACAAGAAAAAATATGCGTTCCACGTTGCACTGGTATCGTGAATCAGCCCGAAGTGGGTGAACGCGTGGCTGCACCTAGGTCCGGTGTAATCGAGAGGGTGCAACAGGGGTGGAGGTGGTGAAGGGTCGCGACAATATATTCCGCAAAGCAGATCGCGGGATGTACACATAAATATACATTTTTATGACGAATATACTGGCGGAAATATATATATATCGTTTCAAGGAGGAGATTCCCGAGACGAGCAACGGCGAGGGTCGTTCAGGTGCGACACGTCGTATGAGAGGAGCTCGTAAACGGATGCGGAGAAGAAACGTCACGTCTGACGCCGGATATTTCACACCCACCTGACTTCCGCCGTTTCCGTAATTTTGTTCGTCGTACGCGAGTTGTAATGCTCACCGTGTCGTGGCAAATTGGAGTTTGCCGATGGGAATTTTATTTGTGGCCATCGTGAAACGTTGATGATGTTTCCGGAGTGAAGGTGCCACGTATAATATAAACGATCAATACGAATCACTTTAACCCTATTGGTGAATAGTAACGAATTTATGGTATACCAAGTTTGAATTTTGTTGGCTGAAAATGGCGAATACAAGATGGACGATCTAGTTTACTTGACCATCTCCGTCGAGAGTTTCCTATTCTGGAACGTCTTGGAAATTTCCCATAACGGTGCGCTTCCTATCTCGAGTAAACACCCCGTTAAGAAATATGGCGCGGGCCTTTTTGAATTACTACCTCGGGCAATGCTCGACGTGTATTAAAATCCTTTTAACCGGACATAAATAAAGGTACGTTCGGCCGGGTAATCTCCAGGGAGGATTACCCGGGCGTTGGCGAAACTGAAAGAAGAGACTCTCGTTTACCTAGGTGTCCTCGAGTAGGACGTAGACAGTGTCACGAAGGAGGACGGTCCACGATTTTATCCAACGTCCTACCTCTGCGCACGTCCGCCGATTCAAAATCGTCCTCTCTATCCGTGCAAGGTCCCGGCTCTTGCCCCGCGTTCACCTCACCTCTCGCAAATTTAATCTCTCCCGCTCGCGTCAAAGTGAATTCCATAAAACAAACCGTCTCTCTTAAGCTCTCGGGAGAGCACTTTCGTTTCGTTGTCCCATTCTTCTCATATTTGACTCGATTACCGGGGTCAAGGGAGAAAGAAGGATGGAAAGAAAGACGAGCGAGCACGGGAAAGAGAAAAACGGAGCCAGAGGGGAACGTGTTCGAACCTGGTGTACGCTCCTTGCGGACTAATCCCGAGAACGGGTATAAATGGTAACTGATCAACAGAAAAGAGATGGGAATGAAAGTGGGATGTGACGGTCTAAAGTGCAATTGAATTTCAGATTTACGTCCGGCGACGTAATGCGACTTGGAATTTCGAAACGAAAAGGACGTCTATGAATTCATAATGTTTTCGCTACTAAGTTAACATTTTCTATCGTTAAGCATCTTGTTTAATAATCCAGTTATATAAAATTTGAAGTACACTGGTCGCCGAAAACCCTCGCGAAAACGCGTTAAGAAACGCGAGTGGAACATGGGCCAAATCGATCAGTCCTCAAAATAAAAAGTAGAGAATTTGATAAAATATAAAAGGTTAAGCACGAATCGAGTGCTTTGACACTAAAATTTAGAACGGTCCACATACATATTCTGCACAATTTCGCGCTCTAAAAATGGTACTTCTGTCTCTATCTAGCGTCAAACGAAGAAACTAACCAAATAGGATATTCCTTTTAAAGTGATTCCCTGCTCTACCAATTGAAGAACCAAGTCTAATTCACGTATACACTCTCTACTTACAATAAGCGACTAAATTAATAAATTAAAATAAACTAATTTACGTTACAAGAATACTATGTGTAACACTAAATTGGAGAATATGTACTTACAGGATGTTCGGCTCGGCTGCGAATCCTTTGAGGGGATGGCAGTGGGTGTGATGCCGAACACTTTTTTCCTCTGTCACAATGCATGCTAAGGCTTAAACTTTGAGTAATTAATGAGAAACACTACCGTGGAGCGCAGGCGCAGCCGTGGGAGTGTCAGCTACGAGATCCGCGCTCGACCGTAGCCGCGAACTAATTAGTCGACGCGTCGGTTCGTAGCCGACACTCCCGAGGCTGCGCAAGCGCGCTATGCGCCCTCTAATTGCTTGCTGTTTTTCATTAATAATTCAAAAACTGTACTTTAATGAGCATTTTGGTAAAGGAAAAAGTTGTTCAGAATTGCCTTAGCTACCATCCCCCCATAAGATGTCCACCCTACCCGAACACTCTGTATATAATTTAACTTTTAGTTTACCACCTTCAAGTTACCCTTCCTAATTGTGATACATGATTGAAGAACTTTACTTGTCTTGTACATAACAACCACTGTTCAGAAATGAAGAAGCTTTATGAATAATACTGTGTCTTGGGACTTCCAAATATTTTGAATTTTGGCTTTGGTCCCATCCTTAGGATGGATATCCAACAAGATGACCCATCTCCAGTCCCCAAAAGGGATGTTTCCCAAGTCAAACCTAATTCTGTCAAATTCTATTAGGGCAGGCCTATTCTCAAGATATTTTAATAATTCAGAGCTTTACAATTTACCACGATATAAACTTTGGAAGAGTCATGTAAGGATAGAAGGTTCTAAATTAATTAAATTCGGAACTTCATCCGTCAATTTTCTCCTTAATTCTCGCGCTATATTCGAAAAAAGGAAGCAATTCAAGAAAAGGCTGATGGCAAGCGAAAAAGAAAGGAAGGCCTTTCGCTCGACCAATGCTTTATAGAACGCCACGACTTATCTGTGGAGCAGGTTTGAGCTCGATAAGGCGGAAGTTGATATTATCCAAGGTCGATTCGAGTTGCTCGATAGTCTGCAAGAGGACCCGGTTGACCCGGCCGGGATTCTCAACTTTGAAGACAGATGTCGGTAGACAGTCCATAAATGATTCGATCCGGCTGTACACGGCGCATAAAGCAGCGCGCATTCCCATTGACCAGTCCGTAGTCTCGAGTCGTGTATTCGGGCCAATAGTAATCGTGCGGTGCCTTTGAGAACACGGTACGGTCTCCTCTCGTCAGTCCGGTTGTGGTGCGTTTTCATACGTCACGTCGGGACAGAGAAGGGCAAACGAGGAAGGGAACAGCGTCGAAAAGACAGGCATCGTAGCGTCGTTTGTCGCGTCGATTTTGGAGAAATCAAGAGAAATCGTTCAAGTTCTCGAGGGGACATCGTAAAGGACAGAAAGGTCCGGGGACAGGGATTCTCCTGTCGCTCTTTACACTCGCCTAACCGCGTCTCTGTTTCCGTACGATCGTGTTCGACAGCCGCGGAGAAGCTGCAACTCTTTTTCGGTAACAGGATTCCGGAGCGGGAGCCGCGCAAGACGAGGTGAGTTTGTGGAAGAAATCGAACTGATTATTCGCGTCGAGAGAAACAGTTGCCGAACCGAGCGACATTTCGATCGATGACGATTGCCGTGGTAATAGACCGTCATCGTTCCCGCTGTCAGCGTCGACGACGTCTTCTGCGCGAGCCCGTGCGTGCGCGCGTTCACTGTCGCGATCCACGACGTTCACGATAATTTTTTTCTATTTTCTTTTCGTCGATCGACGACGGAAGTGTAATCCATTCGTGACGCTAATTTCGAATGAGTCATCCGACGCGTTACTACGAAGATCGAACTTAACCTGAACTCGATTCTCGATTCAACTGCGACACGTTTGAAACGATCTCCCGCCACTAGGATTTCGCGTTCGCTCGTCGTCGCACGAAGCGTCAGAACCGATAGGATCGACAGCTCGATACGTCACGTCACGGTGGCCCCGGATACGTGGCGATCACTCGACGGGAAGAAACGAGGTTAGACGTTATACACGCGGCTATCCATGCAAAAAATCAATACACGACCCTCCTGGGCCACGATTCAGACGCGCGCGGATATGTTTCTCGAATCCGGGGGATCGCCCTTACGGGCGAAACGTCGCGTCGGATCGTTGCGAATTCTACCGAGAAACTTCGGATCGATTTCAGAACCTGTGCGCGTGTACAGCTTTTCCTCTACACAGAGGCACACACGATCGTTTACGTGCGCCGGAGACCGCAGCTGATCCCCCATAGTTTAGGTTTTCGCGGGCGTATTAAAAGCTTTACCGACAAGCGATGCACCGTGCGCGTTTGTGGCTTCGTTTTCTAATCGAACGGATCGAACGTAAAATAACAGATTAAAAATCATCGTGTTTGTTCTCGAATATTTTTAACATCTTCCTCCTTGCTAATGTTTAACGAGATTTTTCGAATATCGAATTAACGTCCGTCCGGACGTTGGCTAATATGGAAATCGGTTTATTTCCATGCGTGAACCAACCTGCACAGAGCCTTTTATAATCTTGTTCCTTATCGATTATTCTTTTCCGTACGTGCGTCGGTCTCTGACTATAGATTTCCTCGAACCATACGCGAACGTGTTCCGTGAATGATATAAAATTTCATAAGAATTAAATTTCATTTCAACGTACCGTGTATTATTTTTAAAATCAATTTGCATTTTTAATCTATCGTTACATAGAATACGTTCCTCGAGATTCGATGATGGCTCATAATTTCTAACGTTTAGGAGAGCTCTTAATTGGCTTTAATATCCCTTGGTCCCAAATAGAGAGGGTCGTGGCTGTAAAAGATGATATTCACGCGTTTCACGAACGATAACGGAACAACGTGGTAACAAAATTTCCTTTCCACGGACGGGCAACTCTAACCGGATTACACCGGAAACGGTCGCCTTACGAGACTTTATTTTAGTCTTAACAGCTGACGTTGATATCGTGCAAATTGACAATAGACGAGTGCGAAAGAAATCGTTACACAAAATTTTCCGTCAGTATTATCGAAATATCGGCTGCACGACGAATCAGGCTCGACTTTGCGTACTCGCGATCTTTTATTGCATGCGAATGCCTGTGTCGCGAACTTACCGTGTTCGACAACGTTTCACGAAATGTGTGATCAGTGAACCATTTATCAATCGAAACGTATAAATTTTGCCTCTTTCATTTCTGCGCACGAAAAATGGTTTCGAAGGTGCACCGATCACTGATCATCGTTTCTCACTGCATCTAGCGTGTTTTCACAAAGGCGCACAGCATTACACCTCGCAGTTGGCATGCGGCCACCGCATGATTATCTCGATGTATGATGACGATTTTGTGCAATGAATTTTGTGCATGCTGACGCCGCACCTTAACACGCATTTAGTCCCTTCTTTAGTTTATGTTGCGCGAGGACCACTCAACGAGGCATCGGCAAATGTTTTCGTCAAAAATGATTTCCACTAACAATGAAACAGAAATGTTACCTGCGTCGAATTTGATCAGAAACAGAGTGGGGCTTCAACTTTCACTGGGAGGTCAAACAAATGACGAGGAGCTTTCTTGTAGAATACGAATTCTAATTTTAATTAATTACGCCTCTAACAATGCACTGAGAATTTTTCTCGAATTCTCCATGGCAAGTTCGTCCCTGATCTCGGTAGCGTACAAAACCGTATCGAGATCTAAAATTGGAGGACGTGCACAGGAAAGATCCTATTAGTTCCGAAATCGTATCGTCTGTCTCTTTCTTAGCCAGAAAGCAATTAAGAAAATTCAAAGGCAGGTAGACAGGTGCACGGGAATTTAATCACTTTTCTGGTCTCTGTAGTTTCCTGAATTAAAAGCAACGGTCACGTTGGCTCTTCCTCGAATTATCATATCTATGGTGAAGTATTATTTGCATCTCTGAATGCAACGAAATTCTGTTGAATGGATAAAAGGGTGATTGCGATTTCGTTTCACCGACGACAGGTGTAGCCGTCTTTTAAATTGTATGACGTCACGAACAGAAACCTTTGATGCACAGAATTAATGACCACCTGCAATCTTATTCATACCTTTCGACCGTGTTCCGTTTTACTCGATTTTGAATGCATTCAATAAACATGCAGCTGCTCGAACGAAGGACGAAAGTTGAGAAAAAATTCGTATAAAATTAAACTGCACTAAGTATTGATATAATTTTTCTAAGCAGCGGTTAATTACTCAGGCTAAAGTAATTCGGTTCAATGGTAATCCGGAGAGTAAAGTAATTAACACGTTCATTAACAGCACTCTATTGGAAATTCATCCATCATAGACCACTTTCTAATTGCTGCTTTACGTTAATGGTATAATACCAACTATATTCAAGACAATATTTTTCTACTATTTTCTTTTAATTATTTAACCAAATTTAATTTACAGTACCGGTCAACGGTAACCTCCACGGTGTTGTACTATTTTTCAGAATACCTGACAGAATTTTCATCCGTTTTAAAATAAAAAATTACAAACTGTATATATGATGTTGGTAGCGAACTTGTTAACCAAAAAAAAAAAAGAAAGAAGGAAGCAATTAAGGAAGTTATTGGAGCATTCATAAGATTCAACAGAAACGTAGAGAAAAAAAATGATTATTTTCCCTGTACTTGTATACTTTGACCTGGCAAACACGTTCTCGCGTAAATCCCGAGAAAAGCTTTTCATCAGTGCATTTACCTCGCAGCGAAAGAAACGAAGCAAGAGCCATTTCCAGGCGGTGTTCGGTAGAAAATAAAAGCGCGAAGAGATGTAAGAGTATGATTGCGTCTGTGATGAGAAAATCGTTGCCGATGTCTCGGTCGATAGTCCGAGCGTTCAGACGGAACCTCCTTATCTTGGATTTTCTTTATTTGCCCGTTTGCCCGTTCGTTTGCCTTGTTGACGTACGATATTGGCGTATCGGCTTCGGGCACGCGTATCAGCAACAGCAACAAGAGCAGCGAGGCTAAGGAGAGGACGCGTTTGGCCAAGAAAGCGTCAGAGGTAGATCCACCGTAACGGTGGACGGGATTCTCGACGAAGACGACGTCCGAGTAGGTCGTCTGAGTGGGTAGGCTTTCATCGTGGGCGAACGAGAGGGAGAAAAAACTTCGCCATGCCGGCAGGTATTGGCGCTTCGTACAGGTCGTTAGGCGACCTGGGCGAAAATGTGTACAAAAGCACGACGATCGTCGACCAAACGCAGACCACCGGGCAGAGCGTCCTCGAGAGTGTCAAGAAGGCTTTCAGTTTCGCTTCACCCAAGGTCGAGCTAAGGAAAAAGGACCCGCTGATCGAGGACCGCCGTGAGAGCGTCTCGATCGTTTCAAGGTAATGCCGTATACACGATATACGTACACTGCTGCACGAAACTATTCGAACAATAGTGGTATTGTTTTTTAACCCTTTCATGGTCATTCCCACTTACCTCATCATATTTATTTCCCTTGAAAATTTGAAACTTAATGAATTTATTTCAATTAATTGCCAACCGAGAAATTAATACATTACTTAATCTTTTATGAAAGTCTCTTTTATACTCTTCGACGCTTAGCCTTACGACCAAGCGTTAAGGTAAATGAAGAAAGATAAAATATCACACTTTGTCTTTAATTATTCTCGACTGCATAAATTGTAATTAGAAGGAACTGTCGTTCGAGTATTTCTGTGTAGCCGTGTACGTGTATGTTTTGTCCCCAACATGCAGGGATAAAACCAGTTGACAGGTAATGGTGATGGTCACGGATATCGGGATTCTCTACCGTCTCATCTGTTCGTGTATCTTATGGTTAACTTTTGTCTACCGGGGTGTCTCATGAATTAACAAGCTCTTGCCACGAGATCAACTGTTTCATTTGATCCTCATTGTTTCTCGACCTCGGATCCGTCTATTCACAAGTTTAGATCGATTCTGTCAAGAGGCTTTTTGAGACGCGCGACTAGTTGCTGCACAGCTTACTTTCGAACCCGCCTTTCACCCTGTACCGATGACGCGTCCGATAACACTGTTTGGGGACAAAGTTAAATACGAATGTTATAAATGATTCATTTCCTCGTTTACAAAGTACAGCTGATTAGAAGGTTATTTATTCAAACGGTTAAAGCAAATCTCTTTGAGTCAACATCGCTTGTTGGGATCTGTTTGATTGTTTGTTAATTACGAATACTAAAGTAGCTTTTACTTTGAGGAAAGGAAAATTCCATTTAGATGTTATCGAATAGGGGGTTGGGGTACCCGACATTCGGGTAAGGTCGGGTCGGACTCTTGGAAGTATAAATGTGCAATGGAAAAACATTAGGTATCTAATTCGCTCTAAGTCAAACAAAGTAATTCCTGACTCGATCCGAATATCGGGTATCCGAAATTTTCAAGTTCTCGCATATTTGTACTTTCGAGAATCTGATCCACCCCGACCCACTAGTTTCCGGTTCTCGCTCACATTTATTGTCGAATTTTTCTTCTCCGAGAGTTATGAATTAGAAAATGACCGCGATCGATAACGAAGTACAAATAAGCTGGGCAAAGACTAAAGAGGTCGTGAATGATCGGTTCGAGGTCGAAAATGTCGGAGGTACAGTTAGAATGCTTTAGCTATTGGCCACGGTGGTGGACTGACGTGAACGAATCGATCGCTACAGTTTCTTGCCTTTTTCAAATTTACGTGACTAAAATTGTAGAGAATACTACGGGGAAATGCTTTGAAATACCGGTTCTCGCTTTTTCGATCGCTAAAATTCATTGCCACTAAAATATATAACTCGCTAACTTTCCGTAGAAATGGGACTCGTAAAAGCTACGCTCCTACTTTGTTTCTTTGAACACTAAAGGGGTGGTTATTTGCACAGACGTATTCCTTTCTCTACTAATACTATTTTCTCCGACTTCGATTAACTCTCGAGCTCGAAATGTGTTTCGAACGACCCAAACAACGTTGCTGTGTTCAGAATGAAAAAGCACAGCAACGGTCGAGAGAAACCATTGAAAAAGGAATCGCATAGCGATCGTTTCGCCTAAGTTTTCAAACGTCGATCACGCTTTCCTCGATATGATTTTACGAATGCCACTTAATCGAGAATCGATAATGCAACGACGGTAATACGGTTCGAAAGATTTCGATCGTGCGATCACTTTTCTTTGACACCGCGTGTGTACCTCTTCGCGTCCGACCGCGGATCGAAGTAACCGCGCGTTTCCATGTTATCGTCAGGATAATCAAAGACTGATTTAACCTTAAGCACGGACACAGATTTTAGGACCGGAAGTTGGTGCCGCGACTATTGATCGGCCTGGGTACAAAAGCAGGCCACGAGGTAAGCCGCATCATGCGACCTGAACGTCACTCCTCGCACTTCCACCGTCCAACACTATCGCTGCTGACTTTTCGACTTCCTCTGCTTTCCTATTCGTCGTTGTGCCTGCTTGCTTCGCTCGTTATCTGTGCTCGCCTGCTACTGCTTCAAACTTATCACCGCTGATAACTTCGCAGGACGACGATCTTAATTAAGGATAACGATATCAAAGCAATTTATGAATTCTCTCTTGATTGCCTTCCAATCAAATTTTCTACGTTACACTGTAGAGTATAACAGAAAATTGTAAAAATATACTATAGCGTCAGTCTGTTCTCCTTTTGTTAGAAAATAGATATTCACCTAACTAACGACGCACAGGAGACTCTTGTCCCGTGAAGCTATCACCGGTGTTACGTCGTTATTATCATTAGCATTAATCGTGTTTTTTTTTTTTTTTTTTTCTTTCTGCATGCACGTAGTCGGATGTGTTCCTTTGTCCTCGTAACGCTCGAGTTGCATCGGCGTGTGCTTCGTGGCGCGCGACGACAACGCGTGCGTTACGGAACCGGCTTCTCGGTCGGTGAGATCCTCGCGCGGGCGGGGTCGATCCTCTCCGAGAACACGCTCGATACGTGTCTCTTAACCGCACGGATCCTTCGTTTCCTGGAGAACGATTGAAACTTCTCGACGTTCGTCCGATTTCAATTCAATATCGTATTCGATATCGCCGTGTACCGCAACGTAGAAAACGTTGCTCATGAAAAACGCGGTATCGCGTTACGGGACATCTAACGACGATCGATCATCGAATATATTTATTAATTTTTATTTCAAGGCAAATAAATTATGAAATTCTTGCGGTTAAATGAGACGATTCATAGATGAAGTAAATTAAAGCTAAAGCTGGTTGCGAAGTTACCTACGTTCGTCTAATTTGCTCGTTGTTGGCACCCGAGTAGAGGCTGTGTAAGCCGCTAGGGCCGGGCGTTGTTATTATTCGCCGCCATTTTGTTCTAGGGAAAGAAACAGGATGCCGACTGCCGCCACAGCCGAGGAATCAGCTCTTTTGGGGTAAGTTTCGTCGAGAACGAACGGAGCGTAGAAAATATCGCGTTGCCGGCGTAATAACCCTGCTGTCGAGTAGATTGCAGTTTTCGATTACGCGGGACCGATACTCGTAGATAATCGAACCATCGCGTCCCTTGCTACCTGAACCGAACACACACGTAATATTCATCGACATACATACCTCCATTGTTCCATAGGGATTTTCAGGTCTCGTAGAAAGAATCGGCATTGACCTCGATGGCGACAGAGCCGAACGAACGAGTCGCCAGCGGATAATTGGCAGCTGCGTTATTAACACTTTGATGGCTGGTGTCACGTGTTCGTGACATTGACATGTGACTTTTCACAGCCAGCATTCTGTGCTACGCGATGGATACTAATTTGGAAATCAGTGATTTGGGTATATTTAGTACAGGGGTGTGGGTGACCGATAATTGGGTCGATTCCGCATTGTTCGGCTCGGATCGGGACAACTTTGCAGCGGCCTTTTTCCAGAGTTACAATCAAGGTTTTCGATCAGCAACTTGACAATGCGAGCTTATATCATAGGGAATCTGGAACGACAGCTTCGATCAAAGTGATTTTTCTAAGTGCAACGTTTCTCACTGTACTTGTCGCTGATTCCCTCGAGTTGTTACGCAAACGCGAATCGATAGGATGCATTAACTCGAGCTCGAGAGAAATGAAATTGTAATGGCGAGGCATTGCGTGCGACCTACTTCCTCCGACGTTTATTGAATGGTGGTATCGTTATTCTTTTTTCTTCCCCCTGTTGTTCAACGCGAGAAGTATATTTTCGATTACGGTGGAACGAAGTTTGAAAGGTATTTAGAGCACGGTTCCTATGAAAGCGATGCTTCCCTCCATTTTTTCTCGGTCACAGAATGGAAACCGATACAAACAAATTATACTTCCTCGGTTGTCCGGTCAGTTTGTTGGAAACTTCCAAGAGAAATAAAGAAATCGATTGGTAAAACAATACGATTCTTAATACGAGGACTCTAATGGAACGTTTCACTTGTGCACATTCATGCATATTATCCTTATTCATTTCATTTAGAAAATTTTCCAAAAATTATTACAAGATCAATACCAAGGAAATATTCTTGGCTTAATAAAGCTATCGTAAGAAAAGTATTAGAAATGAATGGTTATGTATGTACACTTATAATTAAATCAGACTGCCAGGATTTTATTGCGATTGTACAAGACTCCATTTTTCCAGAGCTAAGTCCATCGCTCTGAAGTAATTAAATCTCGAGAATTGCATTTACATATGTTAGATCATAACAGTGAAGCCACGTCGTAAACAATTTCTAATGATTTGTCAGAGAAGAAAAACAAGTCATTAAAGTCCGACGTTGTTAATAGAATTTGTTGATAAATTCGTCCTTGGTTTGTGGTGTCAGAATTCGTGATCAATTGCGCATCGAGTTATTCCATTTTGATTGGAGCTATACCAAGAAAATTTCTCTTCCTACTGTAACAAACGACCTCTACTAGAAGGCGACCAGTTAAACCCGTGAATCTTTTCTTCCACCCCCGTATCTAAAATCGACCCAAGCAGACAGACAGACTGGCGCCCTACTTCCAATCGAAACGATCAGACTACGCTCTCCTAATCGATCTTCATTCCGTAGCAATTAACGGGGAAATTAGGATTAATTACGGGCCATTAACGGGACCAGGCAAAGTTATCTTTCGACAATGACGCATTAACTTTTCGTCTCGGAAATGTATATTTTTACTGGTGTACAACGAGTCGTGTGTTTGCGTTGCAAGGAGAGAAATGGAGGACTTGGAGAATATCGATTAACTCGGTATTTATGTCACAAGCTTGTGACAGTTGACAGTGCCACGCTCCGGTTAAAATAACGATGCGAATAAAGAAAACTGATTTCCTGGGCCTTCTTGCATAATTCGACTGACGTTATTAGCGAAATTTCACGATTCACCGGTACTAACGTATTTTTAATTAGACAAGTAAAGTTCTACAAGTAGATTTTCATCAAAACTACCCTTATATTGTTGGATAACACAACCACTTTATCTCAAAATATTGGCATATTTCCAAACTTTCATTAGGAAATTATATAGTAATAGAAGAAATATTTTGTCTTAGGTTATCGTTGTACTTTAAAAATACAAATATCTAAAATTTATGTTTTGCAAGCACATGTACCTTGTTTCTAGTTGGAATGATACAGCGTTCTGTGGTACAATTATAGAAATAATTTATTTAAACGAGCTTAAGAAAACATGTGTAAAAAACTAGTGTTTTCTGTTCGCCTTTCTTACACAACAGTTATGTAAGACGTAGACGACAATGAATCGTGTTAGCGGGACGTTAAAACGTAAGAATTCCTTGCGTCGCCATGAACCCGCCCGTCATTTCGCTCTACTTTCCCTGAAAATTCGTTTTCGTGCCACTTGGCAATTCGCCGGGTTCACCTCGTGATTTGCACGATCCCCGGCCTTTAGCTCGACTTCCGACTCGACGAAAACAATGCACTCGTTTTACTTCCCTTTTTTTTTCTTTTTTCTTTTCGGACCACGTCGACCGCACGGTCAAAAATGTTAGTGGAGCTGAAAACCTACACCAAACGACGAGGTTTCCAATAGAGCGACTCGTTGCTCTAGGATATCAATTCACGTTTCGCTAGATCATGCGAGTTGAGAAATATCGGACATCGATAGGGAAAAAAGCTTAATTTTGTTTACTATTCGAATTATAACGCTATATGTGTGAACTCTTTTGCTACGAGTGGTGAACCGATCACTCCCTTATTATTTGAAGATTCTAAGATTCAAAAAGTAAAAAATATTGAAATTTTAATATTCTAATATTCCAAAGTTTTAGGTGCTAAAATTCTGTGAACCTGGCCCACCCCCAAAAAGGTCTTAGTTACGCCCGTGTGCGATGGGTATATGCAGTAATTGAAATTTTAATTTGGTTTCCCGTGAGAAATTATCCAGGAAAATTGCCTCGGAACCAATGAAATTGTAACCATCATCCAACAATAACTCTTCCATACACAATGAACAATTTACGTCGCAGCCAAAAAAGGGTAATTACACAATAAAAAAGAGACGAACATAAATTCGTAATTTTCTAATCAACAATCATATCAAGACACCCTAGTTACATCAAACTACCCTTGTTGCATCATTCCAGTCACCGTAATGATTACTTTAATTGAAACGGTAATTTCAACGTGCAACGTCAGCCTTATACTCTTTACAAACGAACAAATTTCAATAGTAGACGTACACAGGTACGTTGCATAATTAGAGAGTGAGCATGAACAATAGACAAGTGCCTACGAATAGTCGAAAACTAGAACGAAGCTGAACAACTGGTCCAACGTCGGATGCACACTAAAGGTAAAGGATTATTGTGCGATTGCAGTTAATGCATGGAATGAATAAACAATCTAATTTTTCTGATCTCTACCCTTTTTGAGATGCATTTGTTCGTCGATAGCAATTCAATCGGATAGATAAGATCATAGAATTTGTTTACCTGTGTATAGAAGAGCTTTAGCGAAACGTGCTCTGCAATATTCTGCTTAAATTTCTAGCGCGACACATTCGGTTGCCTGGTTTGAAAGGAAAGCCTGACTCCAGAAAGGAGAGACGTAAATCGATCTATCCCAGCAGCCTCGTCTTAGATATGAACATCTTTGGACGACAAAAAAATTCTCGTGTGCAGCTCGGTTAATCGATCGGTAAAAAGGATACGAACAAGATATCGAGTAACGAGGATATCAAATGTTCCATACGTGGTGGTTAGATTGGCTTCTAGCGACGATCGATCGAATGGAGAATTCACCATTTTCTTTTCTTTGCTGAAACTTACCCCCTCGATTAATACACCAAACTTCTCTTTTCATCATTAACTTTTCATTTTTCTTTTTTAGTGGTCTATAATTTTTTATTCAAATAAGAGTTTAACCCTTTTCTGATTGAATGAACTCTAAAATAGCTTAGGGGTGGATCGTTAAAAAATATTAAAAATATTTTCTTTTTCTTTTATAGAAATTTTCCAAACATTTTTTTGTGATTTTAACATCTGTTAAATAAAAATTCAAAGATCATTGAGCAATAGCTTTCTTAATGGCTTTGAAAATGAAAAATTAACTAATTTCATGCAACGTACAAATGTTGAACCGTACAGAAAGATAATCGTACAAATTCAACTCGCGTACCGCTTTAATGGATCCGCTATCTGTCGTAGACACTCCACTTTCGAGTACGCGTGAACGTTTATCTTGCTCCAAATTTAAATCAACTTTTCGTTTAAATTAACTTCAGAAGCCTCTGTTGCGCTCCAAGCTGCGATTAAAATTTGCAGGGAGCTTAAAACGTGAATCCAGCTTTCTCCGTGAAAGCTGGAAAAGTTTTCAGCGTATTTTCGTTACAAGATTATTAGTGCGCGAATTAAATCCCACCTCTTCACAGTCATCGTGTCTATTCAGTACTTTTTTACCACGATTTTGTTTTCCATTTTTTTTTTCGACTGGTAGATAAACAGCTTCAAAACGCAAGTATTTGGTAACAGAAAACACTTTTGAAACCGAAGTAAAATGATATCTGTAAATAACTCGGGATTTTGATTTGTAAAGGATCTTTATAGTTTTGAAAATCCATTTTTATGTTATAGAACTTTGTAACGTTCAAATGATTAAATTACGAGTATACAAAACATCTCAACTAATTAATATTACGTTAGCAAATACGTTAAACGAGAGATTTACCAAAGTTATATGGAAAGTTAAAAATATGTGTTATTAATTCATCGAATGTTAGCAAAAAATCATGGCATTTACATAGGTGTAAGGTTACTTACGATCTATGCATGACTTTTCAAAATGATTTATACCTAATGAAATTATCAAGATTTTACTAAATTAAACATAATGAAACTAGCAGAAAGCTGCACAATATTATAAGCGTGAAACTTATTAGAAAATACGAACTGAACATGAAGGGACAGAACATGTTAACAGCATGCTTTATCGTTGCTGTTTTCATCGACGAATACGGACACAACCGGACTTAACTTGAACCGGAAATGATAGTGCGACGTGCTAAAGATACGGGAAACCACATACAGATAGATTTGTTGTGCTTGGAAATTCAATGAACGATATGTTCGAACCACTACAAGTAGGTACCGTTCTATCTTCAACTAGCAAAGAAAATCAATCAACTATCGACTCGAATGCTATATTATTGCAATAAATCATGAACAACCATTAGAATAAAATGGTTTGTTCATCGTAAGTTATTCAAAAAATAAGTTTTACTACTGTCGAAAATGAATGATATTATTTTCTTAGGACAAAGTACACTACAATAATTCTTCCTGTTTACAAGAAATATAATATTGTAGAAAATAAGATAGCTATATTTCCGAGGATAATATACAAAATGAGGAAAATTGTGGATGAAAAATGAAATTCTATCTGCTTTATATTTCATACGATAATATGATGAGAGATTACGTAGATGGAGTTGCTTTTATTCAGATTAAAAACACGACGAGTACTTTGACAAAACGCAGAATCTAATTTTCTGTTTATATAGCATAAAGTATACTTTATTACGGTAGAAAAACGCAAAGTAATGGGACGAGCAGCGTAAAAAGTGTACGAGAATGCAATTTATTTTTATGGGAATTCAACGTAGGTAGAAAAGAGTCAATTAGAACAAGGTGAAGTACCTTGAACCTCTCTCAAAGTTTCAGCTGCTTTACGGTCAGTAATCGATAGCAATAAATAGCCAATTAATCTTATCGATGGTTTGGTTTCTTATCGGAAATTTCTTTGCTGCAATTGTTTGCATGTTTCAAAGGATCGTAACCCTTGAAACTTTATATGAAAAAATTTTTGAAAAGTTCATTTATATTCTAAGGTATTTTCTGTAACTATCAGGTGCACCAATTAATTCGATGCCTTTTCTTTCTTTTCAATTGAAGATTTATTTTTAAAACGTTATCATTTTAATTCTAGCGCTAACTTTCGAGTCCACAGAAGCGCGGGAAAATATTCAAATTTAAAATCATGATTAAGAAGACGTATTGCTGACGACACCAAATTAATTGCTACACCTAATGTTTGTATAATAACCTTACGATAGACGTTATCACAGAAATGCGGTCACGATACTAAGGTGAACAATGTTTCTATCGTTTATACGAAATGCTCTATCAGTGTCAATAAGAGAATACACGGTATATCTACTCTTTATCTGTTTATCGTTAGATATACAAACCCAAGAAGTCGTTTCCACGGTTCGAATGAAGATGTATGACTTAAATATACGTCAGCAACTTTTCAGGTGAAAGAACTTTCCTCGCGATTAAAATGGTGGTTACATTAAACCACATTGGTCCCACTCGGAATTTTCCTTTTAATATTCTAAAGGCAACGTGGAATTTTCAAGTACTTCCTGAAGTTTTTATACTCTCTTACATCGGTGCAATCAGTGAAGAAGCTGTTTTGCGAGCACGCCCGTGACAAAGTTCTCTGAATGGTGTATCGATTTTGAAGTAAAGTCAACCCGGCGCCATCCAACCGTGGTCATAAATCTCAAGCTGAAATTTAATGAAATAGTTTCCCTCTCACTGTGAAAGAAAAAAATTGTCCGCGTTTTAATAACAAGAAGATCGTTTCGTCTTTTCCTCGGCAAACCGCTCCGCGGCGCGGCGTCGCGTCGCGCCGTTTCAATTGAATCACCGTAAAGCAGGATACAACAGAACAAACAGCAAGGTGACAAATGAAATTAATTAACTTCGAGCGACGAGATCGTGGGAAAGGATATTTTATTCAAAACTGGGTGCACAAGCATTGCTGCACGGACGAAAGCGAAGAAGAAAAGAAAGGTAAAAGAAGGATATTATCGGAAAAGCAATTTACGCAGCGTTAGCTTTCTGAATAACAAAGTAAGGGGGAAGAGATGTTGAACAAAAGGACCCAGGAATACACCGGGGAATCCAATGAAGAAAGTAACTATTTTACGAGGTCAGTGGATGGTATTTTCACTGATATTTCTGTAAAGGGGAGCGATTCCTTTATCTACCTCGAACTTGCAGAAGCGTCAGCACACGGAGAATAGGTCAGTCGAAGTTCCTGACATTTTCTCCTGGTAAACTGAATTGGGTCGTCTCGTAAATCTTGAGAAATACAGGTCAAAGTAAAGTCTTAAGGCATTAGCTAGGAAAAAGGGGTACAAGCTGCGTCGTCGAAGCACCGCCAAGACAATTAACAGGATCATTGTTAATCATCTAGAGAACTATATATATATATAAAAGTCTTTATCTACCCACTTGAAGAAACATAAATTTTCTCACAAGAAAAAAGAAAAAAATTACAAAACTGTAACTTACTGGTTTGCGTAATGAGGATGCATTTAAAATTTAAACAAACATTAAACGACCATTTCGCTAGCGAGTGTAAACGTGCTTGGGATAATTACGAAGTCTTTAATGAAGGAGAACGATACTTCGCGTTTCCCCTTTAAAGGGTATACAACTGAATGGGCGTAGAAGCGTCAAAGGGAAATTGCACGGGCAAATCAGAAGATTGCCACACGGGGAATGAAAGCACGTGGCGATGAATGGAAATGGACTGTCGGTGACACGATCCGCCTTCAGAAACGCACGTTTCAACCCGGAGAACGTTCGACAGGGCGTGGCCTTCAGGATCGATACCATAAAAAGCTCATCGCACGTCCACCTTCTTTAATAAAGTGCACAACTTTTAACATACACAGGAATATTAAACGCTTCCACCAGTTTTATGCAAATTACTTTCGACTTCCGTGGGCGCGCACCATCTATACCCTTTAGCACCTGAAGCAGCAACGCGACGTTTCAATCATGGCAAGTTTCATTAATATTCGATTGATTGGAAAACAGAATATTCATCAAACGAATATGTACTTGTATTTATTCGTTAAATTATAAGTTAACTTTTTGTTCTTTGTTTTCGTCGTAAAGAAGGGTAGATTGCATTCGGGTTAATTACTTAAACGATTAAGAGTAAATGGATATCGCAACTCTTGTAACGTCATAAATTTATGAATCAAATGAATAAGAATTACCTAGGAACAATTCTGCAGATTATTACTGTAGATTGCCATGTAAATGAAAGCAAAGTTAATTAGATATAAAGTATATTATACTAAGTTTTTAGTATTGATCGTACCTTGCTTCTTTTATGTAATTCGTTCTTCAGTTGCGTGCTGTTAAATAGCAGAAGCGACGATTACATTTTTATAAAGATTCAGAAAGTTTCTTTTCACTGTAGGCACACTGATACAATGGCGAAAGGCGCATTCGCGAAATATTTGTACGACGCTTTTTCTAGAGAGAAGAATTTGCAACACCAGCTATTCAAAGTCGCCGAAAGCATCGGCTGGCGCATTCTTTATTCAACTGTTGACGTAGCGAACATTTGATGACACTTCCCTTGTCACGCGAACGAGAAAAGAATGAGCAAACTTTCGCTTCGGTGATTCTTTTCAAACTTTTATGACGTCACAAGTCACGTATTAGAAAAAGAAATTATGTTATTTGCATATTAAATGAGCGATTTGATTTTAGAAAACTTAAGAAACCATCATGTAACGATTAGCGTTAAAAAAATCTGTAGAAATTGTTAATATAGTGTTTATTTTTACGGCTCCAAATGTTTTTTAACGCAATTATAATTGTAAAAAATGTTGTTAATTAACCGGTGATTTCATCTACAATAGTCTAATATTTAAACAGAGTTAAATTTATTCCTTCGTTTCCTATCTAACTCACTGGAATTTCAATTACGGTGGTAATTAAAACGCGAAAGTAATTTAGCTGACATACGGGACATCGTATGAATGTGGAATCTCTCGTGTTCGTGTAGGTGAAATAAAAAGGAAAGTCGGCAAAAGTGAATATGGAATTCTCTATAATATACACGAAGGAAAAGGTGTGTGCATCGATTCAGTGTAAATTTACCACAGTACAATTTTCCGCCAGTCTGTTGCTAAATTAGCGTTAAAATTTCTGGTCTGGCAGCCGAGCGAGAATCCTTTCTTCTTATTAGAAACGTACGTGTTCACTTTGTACCGTGAATTGTTTTTCTCGCTAGGAAAATAAGCAGATTCTAGGTTTCGTTCGGTAAGAAAGAAAAAACACACTGGTGAAATAAAAACCTAGAAAACCTTGAATATTTCGTTATACGCTTGCACACGTACTAAGAGCACGCGAATTAATTAACATTCAACTGATTAACCCTTTCGCTGAGGCAGCGTTGCACAGTGAAACAGAATCCTAAGAAATAGGGAAAAAGGTCAAAGTTTAAAAGTTTCTTTTTTACATTTTTTGTAAAATAATGATGTAAACTATTGGCTGGCATTCGTGCACAGAGACAGAAAGGGTTAAAAGGGTTTGTTTCCGTACGCAGCACGATGCCTTCAGATAGTATGGATGACATCGAATTGAAAAATATTCAGCTTCAATTCCCGGCGCTAAGATACTTGTCCAGAGACGACAATTCCGTTCGAGAGGAGAGGGTGGAAACGGACAAAGGAAGTCTGCTGGTGGCTGTACAAGGAAATCGAGCGAAACCTGCCATTCTCACCTATCACGACTTAGGCCTTAACTGTGAGTACCAGGATACATGATACAAACAATCGAATCGTTAAATAAAATTAATAGCCGACTTTGAAGTTTAACTATGATGACACTTGTACGGGAGTGACGCATGAATCTCCATAAAAATGGATAATAATTGTTTCCAGATATATCGAGCTTCCAGGCATTCTTCAATTACATCGACATGAGAGTTTTACTCGAAAACTTCTGCGTCTACCACGTGAACGCACCAGGTCAAGAAGAAGGTGCTCCAACGCTACCTGAGGAGTGAGTACACTTTTTTTACCCTCAAAATTTCTATGAATTACTGCAATTTCCGTACCTATAACTATTTGGCTGCGATAGAAAATTGGAAGGAATTTATAAAACGCGTCGTTCCTAAAAATATGCGTCGTCGCTTGACGTGGATAAATGACTGGATAGCCATTGTTCAAGCATGAGGAACGCGTGTTCCCTATAAGTGCAGTAACGAGCTCGCTAATTAACGCGCGATATGACAAAAACTGATTTTCGAAAAGATCCCATACACGCGCGTATAATTAGAATCTCGTTCAAGAGCACCGTACACGCGTCTCACTCGACGACAGTGAATTCAATTAGTGCGAATCAATGGCCTAATTAACGTTCTAATTAGTCGAAGCCCCGACTGTGTCCCGCATGCTCGTTCGCCAGGGATGATTCCTCGAGTCTTAAAACAGATTCTTTTTTTCCCTCGTGTTCACGGAAGCGAGTTCCTTGCTGCGCTTTGCCTCTATCGCCGTTTGCATTTCTATGGATTCGATCTTATCGGCCGTTGCGCAATTCGCCTTTCCAATATTCAATCCTCTCATGAAATCAGAAAATAGTATCTCGCGAAATCGTTCCGAGCTTTTCTACCTTTTGATACTGTTAAGCTGCTTTCCTCCACGAATCTCCGAGATTCAATTGAAAAAAATATATTCTATATCTTAGAATTCTTTTTTATCCGTTTGATCACTTTTAATGCTACGTCTGACGATTGTAGAAGGACATTAAAAAATACCGTGACGCGATAGTCGGTGATCGTTTACATCGTTCAATTAGAAGATTGACGGTGCCTACCTACGACATCCGATTAAGCTGACCTCAAACAATCGTGGCTCACCTCGACGGACGCACACGTAGCTAAACAGCGTGTTACAGAATGATTTAGACTGCAATGCAGATTTTCATGCATCGAACATACGAGTTGTGTTTCCGTTCGCGTGCCAAACCCGTAAAATTTTATGACGAGTGTATACCAACGTCAATCGATACTTATTAGTGATACTCTTATTTTTCGTTGTACGTTCACTAAATATATTTTTACTACTCGGTTCCTTTAAATACAGTGAAAATATTGGAAGTATTTATTGCATCGCGTGACTATTAGCATATTAACTGGTGCAGTAAAAAACGGGCGGTTGTAGCAAGGCGTATTAAGACTGCAGTTAATAACACATTACTAGCTGCTGGAGTGAGACATACGTCTCTCACGATCAGTTAAGGCCGTTCAGTTTTCCTTCTTAACGCAATAAATATTTTCAATATTAAACATTTTAATTAATCGCAGAGTTAGATGGAGGAGAGTGTCAATAAAATATTCAGCACGAAATTTCTAAGTACTCGTTGCTGTGTATACATTGACTAGTCGATTTTGTAGCAAAATGCACGTGTAAATAGTTTGAATGATTTTTTTAAATAACAATACTGTATTCTAGCTACGTTTATCCGTCCATGGACGAGCTGGCTGAACAGCTGCTCTTCGTCCTGGGTCATTTTGGCCTGAAATCCGTAATCGGTTTCGGTGTTGGCGCTGGAGCCAATATACTGGCAAGATTCGCACTTGCTCATCCTGAGAAGGTCAATGCCCTATGCTTGATAAACTGCGTATCGACACAAGCAGGTTGGATCGAGTGGGGTTATCAGAAGCTGAATGTTCGCCACCTGAGATCACAGGGCATGACCCAAGGTGTATTGGACTACCTGATGTGGCATCATTTTGGCAGGGTGAGAAAACTAACTTTTCATCATTACTCTTCTTGCATTAATTTGCAACATTTTTTTTTTGCTCAAATATAAAATGTAAAATTAACCCTGTGAGAATAGCGTTATGAGGTATGTTGCACCACGTACGGATTTTGACAATATTTCTAATTTTTTTGTTCGCTTCTTTTCTCTCTCTTACGGCTTTACTGCAAAGTTATTTTAATTGTCAATGTCTGCCTTTATCGATTAAGTAAAGAATTATCGGTGACTAATTTATATGAGATGCAAGGGGTGACCTACAAAGTTCTATCGAGGCAAGTTAGTTAAGCAACGTTCACGCGAAAACGTAGGCCAATAAATTATCGACGACAAAGCCAAGTATGGCGAAGGCTTATACCGTCGAGTGTTTCTATGCAACCGAGAAAATTGGATTAGGGTATCAGCAGCAATTCTGTCATTCGTATTATGCAACACGTAGCTCCATAATAAAGTCACCCTGTACACCGTGAAAATGTAGTAGCTGGTAATATTTATGGTGTAAATGATTCGAAGCGAAAAAGGTAATTTCTCGAAGATAAAAGAGCCGCGAATGGAGTTGGCCCTTTCGCTCTGCTTGCTCCTTTTTCTGCTCTTTTTCTTTCAATTTTACCCCGTCCGAGACTAATGACGAGCCTTCACTCTTCACGGTTGTTTTTCCTTCACTTTTGTCCCGGGAATTTGGTTCGTAAAACGGGTCGAAAACATTAGTATCCTTGGAATTTTTTCATTGACATAGATTCCAGTTGACAGAGGAATCTCAAACGTTTCAATCGCGTCGACATAAGTTATATACTTAAATTCCGAATTTAAAATGAAGTATCGACTGTAAAGCTTTCTATAGAAGTCGAACGAATTGGACTTCAAGAAATACTATTTGCGAAACCTGTTTCAGGGCACGGAGGAAAGGAATCACGATCTCGTTCAGGTGTATAAGAATTATTTCGAACGTCGTGTGAATCCAACGAATCTGGCGTTGTTCATCGATAGTTACGTTCGTCGTACAGACCTGAATATCACGAGAGAATTAGATCCGACGCGTAAGAAGGAAGGTCTTACGCTTGGTGTACCTGTCATGAATATCACAGGTGCTTTGAGCCCGCACGTCGACGACACTGTGACGTTAAATGGACGATTAGACCCGGCGAACAGCTCTTGGATGAAGGTACGAGACTCTTGCAATATTAATCGATCGCTTTGATGCGATAGTAACCTTATATCAAAATCCATTTAACGTTGTGAATAGGCTACTCTAAATTACATGTAATTTAAAACGAATTTAGCCAAGTAAATTTGGAAACTGAATTATATCTAAATTGGGCCATTCTAATATCGTACTTAAATTTATTAGATATCTAATTTGAACGTGTTTAATTGGCAGATTTCTGATTGCGGAATGGTACTGGAGGAACAACCGGGCAAAGTAAGCGAGGCCTTCCGACTGTTTCTGCAGGGCGAAGGATATGGTAAGTGAGCGCCCTCGCGAACTATGCTTTAGACATTCAATTATCAGAACGTCAAACGATTATTCTCATCGATCTTCATCGGTATTAACGAAATCGTACTCACGCCATACTGTTTCGTAAAAGAGCACACGAGCGTGAAGAAAAGAAATTAAAAGAAACATTTTTACATTCAATCTGAGAATTACACTTCTCGTTCGTTTTCAAAGTACGTAAATATTTTCAAAAAACTAGTTGATTGATATTGTAAACGATAAAAGACGTTCGTGTGCTCTTTTATGCAGCCTTACGAAGAAACGAAATCGCAGGTGATCGTGAACATTCGTAGGTTTAAGTTTGTTCTGTCGATTGCCATATTTGACAAGTATCGGTATTTTTTCTGGCCTATAATCGCGAATCGACATCGGTTATTCACGAAACGAGAGAATTCACAAATCGACGGATCGAATTTGATTTACGTCGAGTCGGTTCGAAAATGCGATCGCAACGAAACGAAGTCACGCTTGTAAGTTTGAGCGATCTTCGAATCAATTTGCCTTCGGACTCGCTAGAAATGCGAAACTCGGTTCAAACTGCATTAGTTGTAGCGAGCAAGACACGTTGTTTCTCCCTCTTCTTTTGTTTATTTTTTAAATAGAAACAACTTTTACTACGGACGCTTGTTTAGCGTAGGCGTTATTTGTCGTGTAACCATGTCCGTAGTGAATTGACGTTCAATTATTATTTGTTCTTTGTACCGAAAATATTCAGAAGAGTGCATACGGAAAGAATAATATGGTATCGCTCCGCTGAACGATGAATGCTAGTTCCCGCGACTAATTGAAATTTCTTATTCTTTTTGGCTTCTTGGACACAGAAACACGTTAGCACTTATCACATGACACAACGCTTAACACTATCGCCCAGTTGATATACAAATTTATGGTGTATTTATCACGCGAATAGAGTACCTTGTCTACGATTACTATGCCAATCCTCCCTCTTAATTATTGTTCCTCGATTATCGCCTGATCTCTTTCTTCCCTTCGTTGACTTGCATTAAACCCAATGAATTAAATACTTGTTTTACGTGGTAGGTATCTACGTATATTAGCCAAGTACGGCCAATTTCTATTTAAATTAATCGTTCCTATCATGGTGATTATCGTTAATTAATTGTTGTTGTTGCGGATCGTCTCTGTTATATGAATAGAGTTTTCATGTTGTACGAATGGCGCGATGCCAAGTTGTTGTTAACCCTTCGATGCATCAAGGATCGAACGATATGACACTTGAAATCTTTCGAAGATTAAACCCCTTCTTTTCTTTTTAATAACATCCGAGGAAAATGAATAATAATCAGTTGACTTCTGTAGTATCCTTGGTACATTGAGATTTACCAACATCTTCGATCATGTACTTTCCTTCGTTGGAAAGCAGCCACTGGCTCGACTTGATAAATAAAATGAGGTTTGAAAAAGGATTACGTTGAATTCATCACTTTAGTCTCACCACCATTGCCATTTATTTCTGAGAGATCTCTCTTTTTTTTTTTAAACATGATTATCAAAGGCAAATAAGAAAAAAAATACATGTTCACCGACTTGCGCCTTTATTTCCCACGCGTCTCGGATCGATCGAGTGGTACGTATAAATTAATAGTGCTCAAATAGTCGATTGTAGTCGAGTTGGAAGTAGTTACGGCTTTTTGGCTATTTTCTTTTGCTTTTCAATAAACGCTAGTGCTAAGGATCATGCTGTACGTTTAACTAGTTTAGATAGAAATAACGATTTAGATTGTTCTGTCCTAGTGATTCGTTTATAAGTGTTGAAAAAGAAACGTTTTCGCTGTTTCTTATGAATTTTTGATGAAATTTGAACGATTGTATTTCCATCAGAAATGTGTGCAAATTAATAGTCAGCAGCGAAAGCGTTTACGATTGACGTCCATTTCATCCCAATTGATCAGACAATAGCTGGAAAGAAGATGAATATGGACGACAGTCGCACAGCCCGATCCGTTGCTTGATTTTTTTTTTCAATTTTTTCTTTGAATGTACTGATACACGACAATCGGCCTAGAAGCGATGCATCGCACCGGGAATGATTTTTCGATGAACGACCAATTAACAGCTACTACGCTACATTGCGATTCTTTTATATTGTGTCTTGAGTCTTTAAAGAGAATTTCTTTTCTTATGCGTTTTAGTGGTGAGATCCCCGCGGAAGCCCGTGACGCCGACAACACCCGAAGGTAATTGTAATTAGGAATTGAAGGCCGCAAGGAGTCAAGCGCGCAGTTGGTCAATTAGGCCACGTCTATATGTTAAGTAAGTCGGAATTCAAACTTTTATCGGGACCTACTAACCGACGACGATGTGTATCACGACTTAACGTCTCTTGGACAACCTCGGGTATATTCTCTGAAGGTTTAACAAAAGGCAACTACTATTCCCTTTAACCCTCGAACAGCCGACTGAAAACGGTGACTCTGTAAACCGATACCGAGTCACTTTTCATTCGTAATTAAATCTACCTTTTTGCTGTAAAATAAGAGGTCAAAAAGCGTGTTTTAATCAAAAGTACCCTAGTATAGGCTGAGCGAGGGTTAACGTTACTAACTCTTTCGAACTGCGGATGTCGTGGGTCAATCTCTTCGGACTTACTAAACTCTCGTGCGCTTCATTAGTCTTTGAATACATTTGAAAATTATCATTCTTCTCGTTGTTTCTATATAAATGTTTACATATCCAAAAAAATCGCAGCGAGAGGATCAATCAGTAATCATTCATTCAAAATTGCATTACATGATCATACATTTAATTAACGAACTACCTTTTTTTTTCTCTTTTTTTGTATGAATATCATTAAAGATTCATTTTTTAGGATCATAGTAACCATTTATCGACTGAGTTCATTATTTGCTGTTATCGATAGCTGGTACAGAATAGTTTGATCGATAAATGATAAACTAGGTATCTTCGTAGAAACATTTTTTTCATATTTCCTCGTAGATATTAATTTTGTTAAAAAATATATATGGACTATTGAAATAGAAAAGTATCTAATCTGTTTTCTTGTAGCAGCATTTACTCATGGTGGGACATTAACAGATAGTATTTCTAAAAAATTGCAGGCTGACCTCACAACATACTGGGCAGTAGAATAGTAAAACAACAAGTTGCGCCGATTCACATGCCTTGCACATGAAACTGACTTTCACTAACACACATGATTCTATATTTTCCTTTTCGTTTTGCATGCGTGCCTTTCTGTCTGTTCTTATTTCGTTCGATGAACGAGCTACACGTTTATTTCTCTTTATGTTTGTGTGATACGAGTCTTTTATCAATGATACATATATGTGGATAATTTCGTGTTTGACAACCTGTGAACGAGGTTGAAGAACGTAATCCCGATAGACGGATTACTCTGACCTGGCATATTTTTTCGTTTCTCTTTATAGTGGCACCGCTCTCACCGCTGAAAATGGCTGACTACAGACTGGCCTCCCTCGAGGGATTAAATCACGTTTGCAGTAAGAAAATCGACTGGCCCACCGCGACTATACACATCACCGAGAATCCCATATCGGAGGCGGTCGTTTGTTAAATTTCTTGTCGACAAATCCTCACCATTCCCATTGATCGTTCACCAACGACAGACCACGCGAGCATGAAACATCCATGCGAATCGAACGTTCAGTTTTTTTAATTTTTTTTATTCGAGGTTTCGTCGGGGCAACGATCAACGACGTGGCTTTAAAACGTTTTTCAATCTTCGTTTCTACCATTCGATCCTTTAATTTAATCGTATTTTTAATTCCATCGATTTATTTCAATGTTTCATTTATTTCTATCTATAACGTTACGTTAAGATTCGTGCAAGTTAAAGTAGCAAGATTATTTTGTAGCAATTTATTTCGTAAGATCTGTTTGTTTTGTGTTTAAGAATAGTTAAGCTAGCTGGTAGTTCTTATTTAACGTTTAAGAGGCGTTTTATCGATTGGATGATACTAATGTCGAAAGCCGATTATTATCGTTCGCGAAAGACTTCCAACCGTTCAATATAATTCGGAAGGCACGTATCCACTTTTAAAACCCACGACAATTTCTCGCGAATCACCCAACGATTTTTACTATTGTTATCTACGATATCTCTTTGTTCAGCGGAACAGCGTATCTTTTTAAAAATTTCAACGAACGTACACCATCGACGGAGTCTTTTTAACAGATAAACATTCGGGATTATACAAACGTGCAATTATCTTCGACTCGTCAAAAATCCGGCAGCATCTCATTCATATCGGTACGCGCAGATTACGATTCTCGTACAACGTCAGAGACAACGAAACCGTGGTTTTGCATAAAAAAAAAAAAAAAAGAAAAACGACTCTAACGAAAAGCAAACCAAGGGGAAAAATCATTGTTGTACAAAGTATGTACGTAGAATTCGAACGAAAAAGGTTGTTCATTGTGCTCACCTATGATGCACATTGCATACATTTGTTATCGATGATGATCATACGATTCTAAAAGAATATTTCAAGAAACAAAAAATGAAAAAAAAAAAAAATTGAAGAAGAAGCTAATAACACGATTTCGTGTGTGTGTGTGCAGCACTGCATCGTAGAGAAGCGCGCACTAATTGCTTTCCGTGTTCAGAAGCGAGGAAAACGATGGTAGGTGACGAATCGGGTAGTCAAGTTTGGTTGGAAAGACTTGCGCACATTTGAGATACTTATTCGCCGAGCAGGAACACAGCGTGTGGTCTTTTTAGAAATTTGAACCCGTCCAACATCGCGCCTACTAAAGTTTTCGTGCAAACATCGAAATCGCTTGCGTTCATCTCGAATCTGAGACCGACAAGATAGATTACACGATTGAAGGAGCAAGATTTGAGCAATGTAGAGATTTGAAAAAAAAAAGAAAAAGGAAGCGACAAGGTAACAGAAAGGTAGGTATTCGATGACTTCGCTTAGCCGTTATCATCCACAAAACTTTTGAAGTGGTGAAATGCAAAAAGATAAAGCCTAAAAGAAATAAGCAATTCGGCTGCGCGGAGCGGCCGTTCGTGTTCTCTCGGTAAAAAACTTCTCGTAGGCCTGCACGTGTGATATGTGCTTCGTGTTAAAGCAGGAAACTCGTACTAGGATACCGCGCGTTCAATAAAATCCTCCGAGCCGAGTTGAATCCTGCGAAACGTTTCCTCGACGGTAAACAGGGAGGGACGTTGGTTCATTTGTTTGCGCTCGCGCACCGTTCGCACCCTTTCCTTAGTTCGAGGCGTTTAGAGATACATACATAATCGAGAGCATGTGTGCGTGCGTGAGTGCACGAGAAAGAGAGAAAGATAGAGGGAAAGAAAGAAGAAACGAATGTTGTAAGAGTATGTCTGCGAGAGTAACTTAGAGGAAGGAGGGTCGTAGATAGTCGTTAAACAAAAAAAAAAAAAGAAATAAAGAATGTAAAAGAGAAAATTAAAAAAAAAAAGGAGTATCTGGTTCGGTACCTCAATACGGTTCTACCAGGCTTCTTAAAGCCTTTAGCGTGATATGATAAGACGTGCCTGCTACATGATGTCGTACGTAGCTTTCGAAAGTTTCAACGCCTTTAGTTTTCTATGCGATTCCCGTACGTCCTGGATTTTCCCTATTTTCGCGCGCCCCTTAGAACGAACCGTGCAATACGCTACATTCATGGTAATAATCGCCATTTCCGATGTGCAACCTTTTTTGTACACATACCTTTATAATCCTGTTAAAGATCTATCCGCAAAATATATCAGCAAACAAGGATAAATTATTTCTATAAATATTAAAAGATCCAACGGAAACGATCGAGTTTATTTTGACAAAATTTCGGCAACGTAGTACGGCATTTACGACCATCAATGACGTGTACTGTGTGTTTACATCGAATGGAAACGGATGAGGCAAGAATGAAAGCAAAGGAGATGCGCGAAAACACGACGAAAGTCACGACAAAAGGACGTATCGAGGGACGAAAAGGTTTAATCGTTTCGTGTAAAAGAGAGTTTATAAACAGAGCGAATATATTATAGACGTATACCTATGACGCGTTATTTAGGCCGGCGAATTGAGACAAAATAGTAGTCGACAGCTTAGTATTAGACAATTTCTGGCGATTTTCGATTCGAAAGGATTGAAGGTATGCACGCATTAATCATTGCTAAACCGCGAGCGCTATCCAGAGTAAAGTAGCTTTTAAGGACCACCTATAAACACACATAACATACACACAGATACCACTACCATTAACCCCTTCGTTTCCACATCGCTCTTGGAACTGCATTATAGAAACATTCAAGAACGGATTAGGTCCACGTTCGAAATAAGTCACATTTTACCCCTTCCATTAATTGTATTTGATTGAACATATCGTGGATAAGTGTGATACCAGTACCATTGTACGACCGTTCAACAATCTAATCGTAATCTTTGATCTTTCATTGAAGATTTTCACGAGACGCATATCATTAGCGCGAATTAATTTACGAATTCGATTGATTATGATTGAGAAATCAAAAGATGGAAAGCCGGCTATCGATGATGGTTTGATCGTAGAATTCTGTGTATATCTATCGTGTCTCTATTTTAATTGAGATACTAACGGTGATTGAATGTCTATAACGCTCTAAAGGATCGGAAAAAAAATTGACGTTGCTGATGGTTACGAAGGGTTTAAAGAATTCATTAGCACACGATCGATCACAAAATCGGCATCAAACGCCACTACAATCTCGCGAGTGGATAACGATGTTTCCTTGAGGTGCTATAACGTGAAGATTTTTGCCTTCGTTTGCAAATCTTACGATCCCTCGCGCAGTATCATCAGATAGATTGTAGCGGAAATATGTTATTGACAACAACTCAAAGTAAAAACAAGGTATAGTACAGTAAGCGAAGTAAACTTAGACGGAGCTTGAGTATATATATATATACATATAAATATACAGGTTAAACAACACGTGCGCACCGAATATACATCTTGTTATTTATAATAAACGAGTATAAAAATGAAGGAACGATTGTTTTGTCAAATTTACTGTCTAACTTGTCCTCCTCCAAATTTGAACTAATCAATTTTCGACCCAAGTATCTTAATACTTTTTTGTAGAAAACAATTCAATTGAAATAAAAAGCAGATAATTGACAGTGGCGACTCGTAAAAATTTAATAGCGATAATAATGAAACAGAGGTTTTCAATTTATATTGGAAGGGCTGCAATCCTAGCCCTCATGGACGAGCCACTACTTAAATTGACCTTAAAATCTTTAAAACGCCTCCATTTCCGGTGCCGATAAATGCATCACGAGATGCTTCGTTCAACGTCATTTAATTTTTCTTAATGACATTATTTTCCATGATCGTTTTAGCTATCTTTGCCTATCTGCATAGGACACCCTGTGTACCTAATCAATTACTCTAGAAATTGCAAAAGTACCCGTTTCCTTAAAACTCCATAAAATCCACCTGCTATTCATTATACATGAATTAAAGTATATTTTCATTTCATTGCTTTGTCCAAATGAAATTTATGAAGTGCATACTTCTTACAACGATAGAAGGTAAATAACTTTTTCTCACATGTACGTACACCATTACTGTCGTATATCTTTGATAATAAACATATTCCTCTAAAAATCTTTCATGCAAGAAAAAACTGGTAGAAGAACGCATGCCATGAATCCCGGATCTCATCTGGCAAGCAACACGCCAGAAAATTCTGGCGTAACGATTTGAAGCAAAAAAATAATTATAAGGAAGAAAATTCATTTGCATACACATTTGTAAAATTAATAAGTTGACTGCCATAGTAAAAATAACGCTTATTATCGACACATGATAATTACGATCCTTGAAAATATCATTTTATTTGCTAAAGAAATCAAATAGAAGTCAAAATAATGGGTAATACCGATCACTTTCTAGTAATTATTAGCTACGGTTCCCATTCTTCCCGTTTTTTAACAAATTGTCCCGGTGTCTCGAATTTATTTCAAATATGCAATTTTGAGATTTAATAGATGTTCGAGATGTTACAGTCTAATCAAGATAAATTTTGCAGCTATTTGCTTCTAATTAAATATTTTGAATAATCCCGACTTTTGCCTCGGGCCCCGAAATGTCTAAAGACAGCCCTGACTTTGGAAATCGTGTTATTACCCTACTATGAATAATTGTTCCTTATCATTTAATTTCCATTTATAGGTTATATTATCAATCGTATACTCCTCTTGTGTTATAGAAACAAACTTCATGCAACTTGAATAAATACTAAATATCAATTTTTGGACTTACCCTTAGTTGAATGATGAGTTGAGAACAGAACATTTGAAGAAAAGGAACACATGTTACTGCTACGATTCACACTTCGGCAAAGACTCGAATGACTATAAAACAATTAAACACTTCTTAATATCTCAATATATATTATCTCCCTTAACCTATCAAAAATATATAACACTTTCAGTATCGAATATACTCTATCGAATATAATAGCGGTATTTGAACACAGTTTGGACCGCCATTTTGTTAACATTTTGCTTATTGGCATTGAATTGATTTTACGTATGATTACTTAGCACGATCATTCATAAAAGTATATTTCTAATATATAAACGTGAAAAATATAAACATATTTGATTTGTACTCACCACTTGAAGGACGTAAAGACACCATAATGAGTAATAACAAAATTGTCGTTTCTTCGTTGTATTAATCTAAAAACACCGGCTTGCTCATTCTTGTAATTATGAAAGAAATTGACAGTGATCACTACAGTTCAACGCGTCATAACATATATTATGCTTAAATGATCAAAGTTAAACACATTAAACGTTTCTAGATGACAAATAAACACAGAATTATTCAAAATAAAAATCTGGACGCCAACAAACATACCGCGCTGCATAACTCTCCCGAACTGATCGCGAGTGTTTAGGGAACAGTGCTGCCAAGCACGTGATTATTACATGGCGCCAACTATTTGAATAACGGTATGATCGATTAACGTTATAACATGAAAATAAATTTAAAATTTCTGATAATTTTCGTAAATAAATAACCGTACATCTATTAAAACTTCAATAAATGCATTTATCATTAAAGTTACGTGAACAAAGTTAAAAAGATAATCCTCCATTTTATTTTTCTGTTTGAAAAAGGCCCATAATATTTTATCAGTGTTTGTGCGATATAAATATTATTGCAGTATTATATTTAAATATTGTCTATCTGTTTAAAATAACAGAAAATTATTGAAATAATTAGTAAAAGAATTTTTCGAATTCATTTCCCATTTTTCTTGCAAGCTTTCAATCTCAGATTTTCTCTCAGGTACTCAATTGCGTGTACGCACATACTCTAAGTGCATGCCTCGACAACGAGAAACCAGTCTCTCGATGATTTTTGCGGTGATCAAACGACTACTGTGTTCAAAGAATCGACGAAGCTGTATATAGCTACATGTTTTACGTGCTTCGATGGACAATGATCTGATAAGTTTTAATCCTAATTAATAAAACAATTATTATGATAGAACATGATTTTCAAAATAAAATCTGCAGCTTAAATAATTTATTCAAATTATTAAATAAATAATTGATCAAGCAACTGATCCCTGTACAGGCCTAGTTGCAAAACACGAAACAAATAAGTATTTATATATTATATTGTAATTATAATACTATACAAACATTATAATTATTTACCAATAATACTAAATAGGCAGCAAGAAACAAAAGAAATAGATTGTAGCTATACAAAACTTAGAAAATTTGGGTAGTAATAAATTTAAAATTAATATGTGTTGAATACCTTCCGTAGTAAGTCTATTCGTTAATCATCGGTGGCATTCGTAAATGTTCGTCGGGCCCCAGTGTAAACGCCACCTGCTGCCGTCGAACGGAATCACGAACCGTCTTTGAGAACGCGCGCGTATTCTTGACTCGGCCAGCGTGGGAGTAAGGCTGTCCACGAGAGACGCCTGAGAAGGTGGTCGATCAAACGCCTTCTTAACTTGACTCCAAGTTTTTCGTGTCGTGTTTTTAATTCTTTCGAACGATCGGTCGAAAAACAAGTGTTTTTCATCAAACGAATCGCGAGTGAATTGTCTACATTCGAATCGGTCAGTGTAAATCCGTCGCTCCTGTCACGCTGTTGAAGAAATCGTGGAACCGGCGTTGTTGCAAAACAAATCACAGTGAAAACGCAACAGCAACACGTTCCAAGTGTCTCGGTTCGTTTTGCTGATTGGAATTACAGGAATCGTCGAACTGCTAATCTGTCGTGGTACGATGTAAACTTTGACTAGCATCGAATGAACTGATATATAAACATCTGGCTGGGAAATTCCGGCGAAATATTAATCGCTCGTTCGTGATAACAGAAGGCGGTACGACTTGGTGACATTTCGTCCTCGATGTGAAACATACTATAACCTATCGTGTTGTCCATTCGTACGGGAAGGCGTATGAAAAATTCGGAGTGAAATAAAGTGCGGTATTGTTCGGTGTGCAGTGCAAGTGTAGTGGATATGCGTCGAGCTTTGTTGTGAGGGTACCGAAGGAATTCTTCCTGGATTGAAAAGCCCTGAATAAAAGATGGGACCAGCCAAGATCCTCGGAGTTTACGTTCTCTTCATGTTCGTGTACATCGGCAAAACGGACGTCATCGAGGAAAGAGGTACGTCTGTTGTTTGTTTTCTTTTAAATCGAGCAAATTAAGCGATATTTCACGACTGATTGTTCGAAATATTTTCTGACGATCAGGCAGCACGATCGTAAAGCGTGCGTCTAATGTTAGTAATTAAATTCGCATATTACATTCTTTCTCGTTAAAATTTAATTAACAACTTTCAATCAAATTCAAAACGATTTGAGATTAGGTAAAATTTAGACAATTTTGGAGCAAAATTTATTTAATAATCTGTTATTAGTAATATTTTGGAAAAATAATTTTTCTTACTTCCAATAGTAAATTTATAAGGAGAAAGAAAGTACAACACGATGTAAACATAATTAACACCCTGTATATTGTGTACAATCATTCTGTCGTGTAAGCGCGAACGTACTTCACCGTTTGCAGAAATCGAAACGTCACCTGTAGATTTCATCTGATACCGCGTTATCAAAGTTAAAACAAAGAATTCTCTATCTCAGCTAAACGTCGAGCAGACGTTATCATCTTTCGTGTTAGCAAATAAGAACCAGCAGGTCCTCTTTCGGTGCTCCGTTTCTAAAGATAAAATCCGTATCTCCCTCGATCAGTAAATACATTCTAATTATGATAGAAGACGAATTATCTTAAATACTCTACATTCCAAATCCACTGTTCGGATACTTTTAAAGCTTCGATAGATATTTAAGTACTAAAAAATTTTTTTTTTGGCACACACTTAATTTGCCTAAATCAATGTCTAATCTTCACACGAAACTATTGTAACGACTACATCGATGAAATGATGATGTATGGAGGGCAGATTCCATTTTTCGTCGCGTAGCCGCTGTGTAAACGAGAAGTTAAATATATCTTGTTAAATAGCTAATTAGGCCTTAATAAGATCGGTTCACCCAGAGCGGTCGGCCAAGAATGAGGGCAATGGTACAACGTTCCTCGTTCGGAACTTTTGTTAAACCGCGAATACCATTCGTTCCGAATCGTAAATCATGGTCAGGTGCTTTCCCGTGGCAGTCTTTGTCATTTGAACGATCCATTTGCAATCGGCTTGCACACGTTCGATGACTATACACTGAGGTAGAATTAACGATTGTCCGTCGATCGAACTCGGTACCATTATGAATAATAAGTCAAGACTTTGCTTACGTAGTTCGCGATTAGATTTGATATTCACCGTGACACATTTGCTCCTCGTGTTTACTCATTATTTATTGTTGTATCTAATGTCGCTGGGATTTCATTCTAACACTTTGATGGCCGATGATTCGTGACTTTAATATGTAATCTTTTAGTTTATTCTCGTTCATTATATTACGCAGTGATTTCAATGAAAAAAATTGATAATTTTATAAAAACTCCAAAACATAATTATCAGAAAAGAGATCTAATTGTATAAACTATCGATTCAATGAAATATGTGACCGTGAACGTGTTACCGATGATATCAGACGATGTTCACATACGTGGCGGAATTATCTTTCGATCGCTCTTTGTCTTCTTCGATACGCTTGTATAACGTTCAATTGAGCACGGTAGAAAATTACCAGACGACAGAGCGGACCTACAGGACATTATACGGGCAAGGTACCAAATATGGTAGGGAAATGGCAGGATCGAGGGATCATGCGTTTGATTCTTCGTTGAATTCTTCAGCCGAGTATCGGTCGAGCTGAAAAAGCAACCGTAGCAAGCCGCGGAAGAGGCAAGAACGCGTTCTCCGGCGTTCTTGACGCAACCGTCTTTGCCTCTTTTCTCTCCTTAGTATGCGAAGGAAAGACATAGAGGAGCGGTGGTAACCAGCCAACCATGAAGTCGAGACTCGAATCGAACGCTACAATTTCGCGGTAGCTATGAAACAATCAAGACGCGCATCAGAAATGTGTGGGGCTGATCTCTGGGGATGGTCCGACGTTTTGCATTCAATGCTGAAGTAATCGTGACTGAATCTATCGGTTTGATGTTGCTTCTTTTATATAAGTATCGAATGGCGTCTTGATGCCTCGATGTCTTTGTTCTTCTTCTTTTTAGAGAATGCGAGCACTCAAGCTTTTTTCTGTATCAAACGTAAAATATCTTTCAATATTTATAGGAAGATAGTATCTAGATCTTATAGGGTGAAAACTGATTGCATCGAGGACGGTAAGATGCATTATTCAAATGAGAATTATGATCGTATAAGACAGCGAGGAATAAATATACACAGGTGTTCTAGTATTAAATATCTTCCGACACAAATTTGCAATGCACAAAAAGTGTTTATCATAGCGTACATACAACCTTTGCGAGTGAAATCAGTTTAGTCTGAACGGCTGAGCGATTTCTCAGCTGCACTGTTATTACCTATCAATGATTTCCTTATATCACTCGACTGATCGAAAGAATGTCGCTATAATTAAGAATTATTCGCGTGGAAACTTGGAACGAACGTGATAAATATCCTTTCACCGTAGCGTTGAAAATGCATAGTAACGATAATTTGTGTAGCAAGCTGTAACTTACGTACGGAATGAAATTTTTCATCGCCGAGAATTCTCGCCACGGTTCGCAGCTGTTAAACACGTTTACATTGAACTTTCTAACGTATCCCTTCGGCGAATAATTCGTCTAACAAACGTTCGGGCACGTGGAATTGTCGGCGAAGAAAATTAGTATGGGATAACCATGGCGTTCTCACGAATTGGTCGCGAGTCACATGGATGCAAGGGAACGAGCACGGGTCAACACCACTTGAACCGATGTCGATGACGACGATCGCAACCGATGACGCATCACCTCGCGAATCATCTTGCGCGATGATGTTTCCAAGTGATTTGACCAGCCTAATGCCTCTGTTCTTACTCGGCATCCAAGTTTTTACGCCGCGCCTTTCTTCTTCATTTTGCTCCGACGAAATAGCGTTTTCATGAAGCTCATTAAAGTCACGAAACGACCGTGCAAGCAATTTCCTTTTAACAAAAATGTCGGAGGTTTCATCGATTTTCTTTCTTCGAAGTTACACCAGTTACACGACATTCTGTATTAATATCTTCTCGTTGATCACAACATTTTCAATTTTCGTGTTATTAAATCTCTTATCGTTTTAATTGGCACCGCGTATTTCATTTATTGAAAACTGTAATGTTCCTGACTTAACGTGAATGAACTTTAGCAGCATTGGATGTTCAACAATTGAGCTATCTGTGCTGGTTGCAGAAGCAATCAGGGTCGAGCGACAATGCATTCACCTCGTGCATCGACCACGCTTTACTTGGCACATCGTCTCGCGTTCTAACGATATACTTATTTCTCTGGATTGTTTTGTGTCTGACAAACAACATTTCTCCTATACGCCATGGTAATTGAAAATTCATTTGCCTTCGCTAT